CAAATCACATTCAATGGTAAAAAGCTAAAGCATTTCCTCTAAGATCAGGACAAGACAAGGATTCCTACTCTTGCCTCTTTTATTCAACATAGTATGGAAAGTTCTAGCCATAAAAACCAGACAATAAAAGAAAATGAACCTAAACTGGAAAGGAAGAAGTAAAACTATTTCTGTTTACAGATGGCATGATACTATAAAAAGAAAATCCTAAAGACGCTACCAAAAAACTATTAGAATTAACACATGAATTCAGTAAAGTTGAAGGATATAAAGTTAACCTATAGCAATCTGTTGCATTTACATACACTAACAACGAACTATCAAAAAGAGAAATTTAAAAGTCATATTTACAAGAGTCCCCTACTGGCCTAGTGGTTAGGATTCCAGGCTTTCACTGTCATGACTCAAGTTCAATTCCTGGTCAGGGAACTGGAATTCCATAAACTGCAAGATTAAATACATAAATAAAACAATCACCTTTACAAATGCATAGAACAAAAAATGAGAAAGCAGTTACTTGTAGCTTTTCTATACCTTAGTTATACATGCTTCCAATAAACAGGGCATGTGGTTTCACCAATAAGGACTTTTTAAAGACCCTATAATATAATCTAGACAACTCCAGAAAGCAACTCACACATAATAAGGCAAAGTTACAGTTCCACGCTTCTGAGTTTCAACTTTAAGAAAATAGCAGAAGAAAGCACTTCAAATTTTACCTATTTAGGTTAAAAATTAGTGGGAAAACAAGTTCCTTAAAAGAGAAAATAAAACAGAACCAAAAAATTCAAAATAGAAGATAACCTACAAAACAAAGAGTGAAGAAAACAGGAAAAGTAGGCAACAGTAGTCCAAAGTAAAGAGGGGAAAAAGCATGTTTCAGATTAGTCTGGCATCAATATTCCAAGCTTCTATTAAGTCACCCCTACTCCATCTCAATTCTTCATGCTCTGGGTAGATGAACCTTCTACCTTCACCATGAAAACAAAGGATTACTTTAACTATCTGTGTCATGAAAAATTTTCGAAACCCCTGATTATTCTTTATTCCTGCCCTTTAGTCAAAAGATAAAATATCCCCTATTGCATAGGACTTAATTTTTTCACCTGTTCCAACCTTCATCCCACCACAAAAAAACTGCTTCATCATCAATCCTCTCTCCTGGTTATATTATCAGTCTCTCCCTCTTTACTGGCTTCTTTCTTCAACACATAAATATGTTCAAAATCCTTTCATCCTAAGAATACAAAAGTTCTGCCTCCTCCTTGCAACCTCTTCAAACTCATTAGCCAGAATGAGCTTTCTAAAACACAAAACCAATTATTTTGGTATTCTTGCTGAAAATTCCTAAAGAGTTCCCCTCAAGAGATTTTTCTAAATATCAAGAATTTATTTCTCATCACAACGGTTTCAAATTCTGTCGAGCACTTATACAAAACTGACTATAATGTCATTTTCCCATTCATCCCTTGGTAACTGTAGCTCATTCTCCAGTATTCAGCACAAACACTGCCTCCTATTTCCTGACCATCCTTACAGACTGAGATACCAATCTTTGGCCAGTGTTTTCTCTTTATCTGCCCATGACTTCTTATGCACACCAGGCTGTAATCTTTGCTTTTTATTGTCTGTCACCCTCTCTATACTATGAGTAAACTGAAATCGAAGACTGACTTGTTAGCTCGGCCTCAATATCTTTTAAAAGTATTCAATAAATGTCTGCTAAATGAATGACAGATCAGTAGCAAAGATAAGGAGACATGGATGCAGTAAACCAAGGTTTAAGCAATAGACTTGAAGTAAAGATATATTTGCACATATGTAAAACTGACTGCCATGTGAAATATCATTCTATTGTATATAAAGCAATCATTTTATGGGGCTTGAAAGGGAGCCAACAGAATAGACAGACTGTCTCCTGCTGGTTCCTGCTTATGTGCAGATGTGGATCATCTTCCTATCAGCCTAAGGATGAAGCAGTTACAAAGAAAAGGCAGTGCTAAGGATGTTGTAGAGAGACGGAGTCAGGGCTTGGATTCACTACTCTGTCTCTGAACTTCTCCTGCTAGATGAAATCAAATTATCCTTATTGCTTAAACTCCAATCTTTTCAATTCAAACTAAGTTGTAAAATGGCCAAAAGTTTCTTCCTTAGTTATAAGCATGTCCCTTTCCAATGTGGCTTCATCTTTCTTCCCCAGAAAAGGTGCAGTCTATTTTGTCTAACCCTAATTTGGGCTTGATTCTATGCAATATCAGGTTAATGGAACATTAGAAACTGTGACACAGAAATGTGTTTAAAGGGGCTTGTACATTAGGGCTTTCCCATTCCCGCTCCCAGAAACACTAATTATGAAGTAAAAAAAATCTGTGCTAAAAAAAAAAAAAAGAAAGAAAGAAATCTGTGCTAACCTGGAGAACGAAATGCCACATGGAGAGGAGCCTCAGCTTTCCAAGGCAAAGCTCTAGACATATGAGTGAGGTCATCCTAGAACATCCAGCCACAACCAAGGCAAACTCAGACCATAAGAACTGCCTGACCAACATGCAGAATCGTGAGAAATAATGTGTTAAGCCAGAGGTCCCCAATCTCTGGGCCGCAGATCAGTAACTCCTCAGATCAGTGGCAGTTATTAGATTAGAAATAAAGTACACAATAAATGCAATGTGCTTGAATCATCCTGAAACCATCACCTCCCACTCCCGGTTCACAGCAAAATCCATGAAACTGGTCCCTGGCACCAAAAAAGCTGGGGATTACTGTTTAAGCCACTAAATTTTGGATAGTTTTTACAGTGTTATTGACTAGGTATTTGGTTTGGTGGTTTAGTCGCTAAGTCATGACTGACTCTGTAGCCTGCCAGGCTTCTCTCTCTGTTCATGGGATTTCCCAAGCAAGAATACTGGAGTGGATTGCCATTTTCTTCTCCAGAGGATCCTCCCAACCCAGGGATCGAACCTGGGTATATTGTATTGCAGGCAGTCTCCTGAATTGCAGTCTAGATGTTTGAGTCCCCTCAAATGTGTTAAAGCTCTAACTCCCGTTTACATGGATTTCTGAGGAAGTAATTAAGGATAAATGAGGTCATAAGGGTGGGGCCCTGATACAACAGGATATGCCCTACTAAGAAGATTCCAGAGATTTTTTTCTCTCTTTTAGTTATCTGCAAGCCAATGATAGAGCTATTACCCACTATACCTTGATCTGAGACTTCTAGGCCCTAGACCTGCAAGAAGACAAATTGTTGCTTTAAGTCATCCACTCTGTGCTGTTCTGTTAGGGAAGCCTGAGCAGTTTACCACCATACAGCATAGCAAACTGAAACAGTGAGTCTTAACACTAGCCCTGCTCAGTTTTTCAAAGATTACTATGGAAAAAAAAAAAAAAAAATCTGGCTTTGGTATATGTAAATCAAGTTTTAAGCTAATTTATGGTTTAACCTAATAATGAGCTGCCTTTTGTCATCATATTGCTTCATTTACTCTTAATGGACCATCAAAGTTCTTTTCTAAATGGTGTCTAATATTGTACAGAGTAAAATTCGCTACATTTATCCACCAGAATAGAATTTTACTATGATTACAGAGTACTCAAACAATGTAGTCACATTAATTTATTCAAATATTTGAGCACCTACTATTTACTTGGCAATGGTTATGATAAGGATGAAAGAAAATGTAGTCTCAACTCTCAACAATACTCAGGGGAAGAGACAGACAAAATGAACAGTTTGTAGTATAGGGTACAGACGTTCATAGGTTCTATCACTTCAATGTAAACTACAGCTTTATTCTTTATACATTAATGCCCCTAGACTACCTTCGCAAATACCAAAGTCAGGCTTTCATATGTCAGGAGATATTTATCAACTTCAAGGTAGAGCATTGTGGTGCTGCCTGGCAATCAATTGTTCAGCTTTGTTATATTTATCAGTGCAGCAGTATGTGGGCTATTAATTTATCAGTTCAATAAATACTTATTTGTTGCCACAAATTTTATACTATTTTGCTTGTATTTTTTTAAAATTCAGGAAAAGTTTGATAGTAGTGATAATATGATCAAGAAAAGGTGGAACTCATCAAGTATACTAAAAGCAGCAATCTTTGGATGGCTGACCACATGTTCAATTACTAAGTAAAACACGAAGTATAGTAACCACTGGCAATATTTAAAAGCCAAGTAAAAGTGATAAGCAGAGAAGTCTTTGGAATTATGGACTGGAATTATGAACTGTTGATTATAAAAACACTAGTGGTCCAAATGCAAAAGAACAATCATGAGTCCACAGAGCTCTTGATGAGATAATGCTTGTTATAGATTTCTTAGTCATTTCAAAATGAGAATTTAAGATGGGAAATTATTTGTAAAAATTAGTCAGAATAGGTAAACCTATAGAGACAGAAAGTAGATTAGTGGTTGTCTAGGGTTAGAGGTTTGGATGAATAGGGAGTGACTGCTCATGGTGCAGGGTTTCTTTTTAGGGTGATGAACATGTTCTAAAATTGATGGTGGTGATGGTTTTATGACTCTAAATATACTAAAGAACCACTGAATTGTAAGCTTTTAATAGGCAAACTGTATGGTATGTGAATTATATCTCAAAAAATATATTGCTGATTAAAGCTTTAACTTGAAAGCCTCAACAATTAAAAGATATTATTGGTCAATATTCAGTGTTGAATCTATGTTTTTCTTGTTTTAAATAATAATGTCCATCAATATCAAGATAAACAAAGAAGTAAAACACTTCCACCATAAAATCTTATAACTTTTTTCCCCTGGAAATAGAACATTCTCCCTAAAACAGGTAAACCCATAGTTCAACCTTCATGCTTTCATACAGCTTTTCAGAAGTAGCAGACAACCTATGTAACACAGCAAGTCCTGTAACCAAAGTATAAACAAAAAGGTGGAAAGTACAGTAGATGGAACAAATTATCACTACATAGTTTACTACTATACCTTTAATTAAAGGACCTTCCTATCAATCTGTAACTTACCTTCATCATGACACCTAGTGTATATTTTTGATCTTCCCTCCTTGCCACAGCTTTTGCTTCCATAGCTTCTTTTGCTCTTTCCTGTGCTTGTAGGATAGATTTCTCTCTTATTCTTTGCATCATCTCTTTGTCAACTAAAACATAAAGAATATCACTAAATTAGAATCATGATGAATTTGTTTTACTTAGGAGAATATGTTTTTCCTACATACTGATCTGGGATAAGATGGTTTTGGACCCAACTTCACATGGAGAAGAACACTTCTCAGTATTAAACTAGTCAAGAAGCCAATAAAAGTGACTGTAACAGTAATGAATTAGCAAAGAATGGATGCCTTTGTGCACTGAGAAAGACAGACAGACACAGAGAGACTGAGAGGGAAGACATGAATAAGAAAGAAGAGGAGCAATGCAGAGAGGAAATAAGAGAGAGAATGAGGATGCAGAGAGGGGAGGCAGAGAAGGAGGAGAGGGTCACAAGAGGGAGAGAAAGGGTGTGCAATGAGAGGGATGGGGAAGAGGCAAAGGGGGCTGGAGGGGAGGAAAGAGAACACATTGATAATCCTCTCTCTCCTATTAGCTTATAAACCTGATCACAATCAAGCATCACTATGAGGTCTCTTAGAAGAGTACATGGGTTGAGATCATCTGACATGATCAATCACCTTCAAAAATACAAATGGTGAGCTTTATGTATGAAGAGTACAGGGCAAGCTTTAGTAAAAATTATAAAGTCACATGACATGTTATATACAGAACTTTACCATTCAGTCATTTTTTATTCAGTGATTCAGTATTTCAGAAACTGCAGGCTGTGATCCATTATGGGGTAAATTATCTTAAGAGAATAAGGATTAAGGAAGGGATCTAGACTTTGAAGGAAAAAAACAGTGGGAGAGAGGAAACTTGGGAAAGAGTGAAGTAAGAACAGACAAGAAGGGCAGGAGTGGAGGGATGACTAGTAAACCCTTATACTAACCCTTCATATTGTTAAAATATGTGAAAATAATACATAAAAAAAACTAGTTACAAAGTGTTATATTAAAATACAAAATATTAAGTCTTATATTAAAACACAAAACATTAAATTTGTGATATACAAATATCTGCTTCTTTATTCATTAAATAATATATAGAAAAATGTCTAATATATAATTTCAAAGTAGTGCATCTAAAAGACAAAGGTACCTGATATGAACATGTTGTGATTTTTATTGACACTACTTTTGATTGTTGTCTACATTCATAATTGAAGGGAATATTAAATTTCAGTTAAAAATGAGTCAAGAGTATGGAAATTTTACCCATCCAAGATCCTGGCTGGAAATCAGGACTGCAATGAGGTCTGAAGCCTCTCCCCAACCATCCACCTGTTTTAGTAACAGGCTGGTTGAGAGCTGGACCAGGGGCAGAAATAATTTTTTAAAAATCATTTCCAAATTAAATGCTCCACATCTGAAAGAAATGAAAAATGGATCAAGAAGGAACTTCAGAAAAAACTGGAGCAGTATTTTGTGAATAATGAAGGAGGCAGGCTTGGAGTAGATATTGGAGTTTCATAATACTATATGTGGAAAAAAGATTGTTAAAACAAGTCCACTGAATTGCATGTAAAAATGAGTTTGAAAAAAATAAAAAATAAAAATCAAGGCTTAACAAATTTAAAAAAAAACTGAGTTTGACTTCTAAAAGAATCTCAAACTTGGTTTCTAAAGTAAAGTTAATGTTCATTACTTGCTATATAAGTTAGTGTTAAGACTGTTTTGATTCGTCTAATTGGCAATTATGGTCAAGCCCAATCTGCTGCCTGATTGCTTACAGCACATAGGCTAAGAATAATTTTTAAAGTTTTAAATAGTTGAAAAAAATCAAAATAATAGTAACGTTTAATGACATAAGTGGCTCAAACTGTAAAGAGTTTGCCTGTGATACAGAAGATCTGGGCCAGGAAGATCCCGTGGAGAAGGAAATGGCAACCCACTCCAATATTCTTGCCTGGGAAACCCCATGGACAGAGTAGCCAGACAGGCTACAGCCCACGGGGTCGCAAAGAGCTGCACAAGACTGAGTGACTAACACTTTCACTTTTAAAAACTAGAATAAATTGAAATTTCAGTGTCAATAAATATATATTGTCTATGGCTGCTTTTGCACGACAATGACATAGCTGAGTAACTGTAACATAGACCACACAGCCCACAAAATCCAAAATATCATCTAGTCCTTTACAGAAAAAGTTTGCTAACACTTGGCTTAAATGGTCAAAATTCGGAATAGCTGACCATGTAACTATGAAAGAGAAGAATCAAGCAGCTGTGCAATGAAAGTAGATATGTAAACCAGAGAGGACTGTTATGATTACAAAACAAAATTCCCTTTCCATTCCTGCATAAGGAGCCAACCAAGCTTCCCTGTCTTTCACTATCTTCTGTAGTATATATCTTCAAATATGTAGCCACTGTTGAGTGTGACCTTCGGCAATTACTCAACCTTTCTGCACCTCAGTAGCCTCACCTTAATAGGAAAAAAAAAATGGCGGGGGTGGTGGAGTACCTAAGTGATACACTATTACAAGGATTAACAGATGAACTAATGCCTAACACAAAATGAGTGCTGTAAAGGCCACACCTGGAGGCCTCATCCTCTGAAGATAGAAGCTCACATCGTTAAAGAGCTATTAACAGACTAATTTTTTAGAAATTCGGTAATCAATGATTAGGTTATTAGGTTATTTAAGAGGAAGCTGAAGCACTACCTCATTTAAATCACACTCGTGCCTATTTTGTTTTCCTAGAAGAGCAACATAATTATTTCAAAATATAAATTTTTGAATGGTATAAAGTTTAAAAAGCACAGTCGGCCTAGCATCTTTTAGTAAAGAACTTACCACCTGACAGAGAAAGGGTCTCCCACATGGCTGCTTCTTTTTTGTGCAGGGTGAAAACAATAATGTTATTCCCAATCTTGGCTCTGCTGCTCTCATCGTCTATGGGAGCATAGAGAAACACCTCGAATAAAAATGGAGGGCTGTTCACCTATTCAGAGGGGGAAAACGGAAGTTAATCTGGCTACACAAAATGAAAGGCACACCCCTTAAGAAATAAGTGATGGAGGCCAAAATCATTTTCTTAAATTCCTGCTATAAATTTATTCCCAGGTCACAATAAAAGTAGCAAGGCATATGGAAGCCATGGATAAAATCATCCCTGGCCCGATAACATCTATCTACAGACAACGTGTCACCTGTATGAGATTCGTAACTTATTTTGTTTTGCTTTTTTTATTTTTAATAGGACTAATATTTTAGGATGCTTATCTGCAAGGACGCGCCTCTTGCGCGTCCACAGCCACGCCGTAGCAGACGCCTCAGACCACACCCCTGGGGCCACCCGGCACGACTTGTGTTCCTACCTTCAGATAATTTTCGGTGCAGAACACGTCCGCGTCTCGGACGCTGACGCCTCGGAGGGGCACAGAGATGAAGACCGCAGTGCTCGTCTGCTGCCAGCTATAATTGCTAACCTGCAGCGGCATCCTGGGAGGCAGCCGGCGAGAGTGAGGAGGACTCAAGCCCGCTCGGTTGCTAGGGAAGCCGGGGTTACCACACACCAGCCCTTCCGGGTCAGGAGGGCCGGGGCACCCAGCGTTCCCAGCGTGCCGCGGGCGCGTCCCTGCGGCCGCCCTGCGGACTCCCCTCGCGACTGCCTGGGTCAGCTTGTAGGGGCGTTCCCGCTGATTGGGGTCTTATCCCTTCGGGAATCTGTGAAATAGCAGGCCCACTTCCGCTTAAGCAAGAAAGAAGCTTCACGACTGAAAATGTTAAAAAAGGGACGTAGGAAAGCGTCATCCGTGAGAAGCAGGTGCGACGCCCACGCGCCGTGGCAGCCTGGCCTTTTGTTTGCTGTGACGGAAGCTGTAAAAGTTAGCACCATTTGGTGTTCTTGTTCGGGGAATTTCCTGCTCATATAGACGTTCTCGCCTAGAAGGTTGCCTGTCCTGTTATAGTCGTTCAAATCCTGTCGGTAGGAAGCCACTCACAAGCGTGTAGATAGGGTTCGCTCCTCGGTTTGAGAACTTTTGACCGTATGACTCACCTGAAGAATGGTAGTAACTCAACTGTAGGATAAGTTAAATTGACACGGATATGTTTTATAGTGGCTTAGGGAGACTTGTAACTTTCACGCTGAAAATTACTTTCACGCTGAAGACCATGTTAGTCTTCCCACATGCCGTATTTAAGGAATCTGAGATCCATATACCCAACCCTGTTGTCACTTGGATTAGTATGGCTTCACTGTGATTAAGATCCTGATGCCCTAGCTCCCAATGTTCTTTCCTTGGGATGCTTTTTGGAGACACCGGAATTTGATTTTTTTTTTTTTTTTTTTAGTAACATGAAAGCTAAGCACGTACAAACTATTTGCCACCTAGGGATAGGGATTTTTAACATTTTATTTTGGAAATCATTAACACAAATTTAAAAGCTACTGAAAAAAAAAATCCTTGAGGAAAGCTAAGGAACAGACTTGGGAGGGAAAAATATCATCTTTTACTCCCTAAACAGGCCACCCCTTAGTACAGTTCATCATCTCAAGATACCTTAACTTTGAATACTGGGACCATGTTAGACTTCTTGTCTCTTGTCCTCCCAAGCAGAGAAACCTAAAAATCAATCCTATAGATTCTTTTCCATGTTGCCTTTAGCATTTTTCCCTCTTGTGTTCAATGCCTACTTTCACCATTTTGTTTCAAACTCTCTTTTGTCTTCTAAAGACAGTTTATGTGTTCCAAATTTTTAAAGTGTAGATTATGCCACTATAGAGGAACACAAGTGATATAATGTATTTATGGTAAATTAAAAGCATACTTTGAGCTCTTTGCCAGTTTCAGGGAAATTAACAATCACTTTGTTGCTGCTGCTGCTGCTGCTGCTGCTGCTAAGTCACTTCAGTCGTGTCCGACTCTGTGCGACCCCATAGACGGCAGCCCACCAGGCTCCTCCGTCCCTGGGATTCTCCAGGCAAGAACACTGGAGTGGGTTGCCATTTCCTTCTCCAATGGTGAAAGTGAAAAATGAAAGTGAAGTCGCTCAGTCGTGTCCGACTCTTAGCGACCCCATGGACTGCAGCCTACCAGGCTTCTCCTTCCATGGGATTTCCCAGGCAAGAGTACTGGAGTGGGGTGCCATGGCCTTCTCCAAATCACTTTGTTAAGCACAGACAAACTTGTGTGGTGAAATTGTTCTATCAGTCTTAAGAAACTTTTTGCACTCTGATTGGATATTTTAAAAAACTTGATCAGTTTTACTACTGAATCATTACACCAGCTGATATCCATTTAAAACACCATTAATCTTTATACTTCAAGACTTAAGTACTTACCTAAAAAGTGTTTCACAAGAGTTAAAACTAATTCAATCTTAAAAGTGCTCCTTATCTGTGTTCCTTAACAGATTTAAAAAATAAACAAAAATATCTTAATCTAACCCAAGTGTAGATGGAAACTTGATATATGGCAAAAGTGTGCACGTAAATGGGGAAAAGCAAGAAAGGAATGACTATTAAATACATTGGTGTTAGAAATTGTAACCATATGGGGAAAAAATGAGATTGGATTACTACATGCATATGGTGTCACACACAAAAATGAATTTCAGATGAATTGAAGATAAATAAATTTAAAACTTGTATTTTTATATACACATACATGTGTGTATATATGATCTTGTCATGCTTAAGCTTTTCTTAAGTATGATATCAAAAAGCACTTACATTAAAGAAACTGACAACAATGTCAGCATCATCTGGGGACTTGCTAGAAATACAAATTCCCAGACCCCACTGAAGACCTGCTGTACCAGAAAATCTGGAACTGTGGCCCAGCAATCTGTGTTCTAACAGAACCCCCAGGTAATTCTGATACACACCAAAGACTGAACCACAAGGGTAAGAGATAGCTTTTAATAGGGGAAAAGAGAAACTCACAAAGCCAAGAAAATAAAACAACACAGGTTCCCCCATTCTCCCCTCATCCCAAGGAGAAGCATATAGGGCCCAAAGCAATATGCTCGATCTGCAATGTAGCTATACACTATAGGAGAGGAATTCCATCCCCTTGCTGTCCTGCCTTCAATAAGAAAGGAGAACGTACAAGTTTAAAGCTTAAACATATGTATTTTTATATACACATACATGTGTGTATATATGATCTTGTCATGCTTAAGCTTTTCTTAAGTATGATATCAAAAAGCACTTACATTAAAGAAAAAAGATCAAAAACTTGAACTAAGATTAAGAACTTGTATTCACCAACAGGCACAATAAAGAATGACAGGATATATATTTTTCAATACATATTGGACATCTGTAGTTGCATAACTTGTGTTTTATTCAGTCACTGAGCAAGGAAGGACACGTGCCCCACTGAGTGTCTCAGAACGAGGGGGAAAGTCTAAGGGAGGGAGGCTTTCCTCTAGATTGGGTCCTTTCATAAAGAGAGGGTAACTATGATTGAATAAAGAAACAACTGTCTATAGCAGCTTTCTAGCAAAGACCTGAAAACATGCCAAATATCAGTAGGTATATTCATACTAAAGAATATCATACAACAATAAAAATTAATTATAACTTTATACTGGGTGGATGAGTGAGGGAATAAGAAGCAGAGACCCTTAAGGAATAGTGCCAGTTTTATAAAACTTTAATGAAAAGCAAATCTGTTGGTTAAGGATTCCTGTATATGTGGTTAAAACTATAAAGGAAAGCTAAGATGTCAGAAAGGGTAACAGTTAACTCCTAAGTGGAACTCTTGCAAGTGACACTCTTTGTGGTAGCCAAAAGAGCTGATTTCTGCATAGACACTGCATGAATTAAGACAAAGTTGCTCAAAGCATGGTCCGCTGACAACAATGTCAGCATCATCTGGGGACTTGCTAGAAATACAAATTCCCAGACCCCACTGAAGACCTGCTGTACCAGAAAATCTGGAACTGTGGCCCAGCAATCTGTGTTCTAACAGAACCCCCAGGTAATTCTGATACACACCAAAGACTGAACCACAAGGGTAAGAGATAGCTTTTAATAGGGGAAAAGAGAAACTCACAAAGCCAAGAAAATAAAACAACACAGGTTCCCCCATTCTCCCCTCATCCCAAGGAGAAGCATATAGGGCCCAAAGCAATATGCTCGATCTGCAATGTAGCTATACACTATAGGAGAGGAATTCCATCCCCTTGCTGTCCTGCCTTCAATAAGAAAGGAGAACGTACAAGTTTAAAGCTTAAACATATGTATTTTTATATACACATACATGCACGTATATGTATGTGTGTGTGTGTGTGTGTGTGTGATCTTGTCATCCTTAAGTTTTTCTGTAAGGTTTTATCTGTAAGAGCAAACATGAAGGGGAACCTTTTCAGGAGGGAAACTAGTGGGACCCAGGCAATTCGTGGTTTAGGTGAAATTATAAGAATTATCTGAGAAAGCCAGCTACCCAGTATCTGGAGACCTTGATTCACACGGAAAGATTAAGTCGGAAAAAAAAAATTACTAACACTGGCAAGCAGAGTTCAGGTGCAGTCCCTCCCACTGGAAGACAGGAGGATATTGGCTGGTTCCCTAGAAAAACTGAGAGAACACCTCAAATTATTTTTGATTTTGTTCATTATAACAAAGTATGCCATCAGAGAGCATCAAACAAATTGCCAAGTTCCCCCCCCCGCCCCCCCGTCTCTAGTTTTGGTGATGGATTTGCTTTACTCATCTTTTAATTCATAATGTACATAAACAAATCTCTATATTATTTTGTATGTAATAAATACTAGAAAAAGTAAAAATTTAAAAACAAGTTCTATAATAGAGGCATGTCCTTATTTTCTCCTTACATATTGACAGGCTTTTAAGGAATGAAAATGTACATTACAAAGCAAAAATTAAATCTGACTTATTATTCTTCACCTAAAATTAATTAACCATAATTTATTCTGTGATCATCAAACTCAAATTTGGCCATAAGGAAAGGCTGATTTATTATTTTTTTAACACCACCTCAGAACTTTAAAAAAAGACCTTTTGAAAGCCTTTATTCTTGCAACAAAATTATTTGGACCCACTTGGAATTTTTTTCCTTTTTTATTCTAGGAAATGGAATCAGTCATTCTCCAAGAAACTTTAGTTCATTTTAATGCAGAATAGCTTTCAGTCAATATCTCAGCACTAAGTTTTAAATGCACTCATTATTTTACTATTTTAAATTTGGGCTTTAGGAAAAGACAATGTGATTTACAGCTAGACAAGAATATATAGGTAGAGCACATGTAGAGAATGTGAAGTGTCCATTTATCCTTTTTATTTTTGGCCAAAATATCTTAGGCTGACATTTACAGAGTATAGATCTTAATGATTTTTTCCTACTAGTCTTATTTTAGCATATTAGTTTTTTTTAAAGAATTTTAAGTGCTTCTAGTTCCTGATCTGGCATTATAGAGCTTGGAAGTCACCACTCCATCCCAACAAGAAAAAGACTGAACAAAATGAAAGATCAACAACTCTTTTTAGCTGCACAAGACAAGTGAGGTCAGAGGGCAAGCCACTGCCCCCGAAATGGG